GCAATATTTCATTAGTAAAAGAGATCCATACTTTTTAACTTGAGCATTTAATTCTTTGGCATGTCATTCTTTCTAACTAAAATAAAATAATACAAGATAACAAGTTGCCCAGAAGCTAGTAAGGAATCCAAATAAATCATACTAGAAATCTGCCTTTATAAAACATTTAAACTTGAGGAATTAACTCCATTTCTTTTAAACTTTGTTTTGTTTTTTATCAATGGTGACACCTGAGCTGCTTTGATCAGGTGTGGGAAACCAGCTGATCCCAGGCTTTTCTCTACATCCATCCTGGTCCTCTGCTTGGTTCAGATGTGTTTCAAAGCTGAACTTAAACATAGAAGAAAAACTTACTTTTTGGCTGATAAAAGCTTAATTGTTAAATTGGGTCCCGATCAAGTAGAACAGACTCCAGCTCTATCTGATTTTATTACCTGAGAAATTAAATATTTTCATGTACTCATTGAAATGCACTCTTGGACCACTAGGGGTACGAGTACCCCCTGTTGGGAATCACTGCTCTAGCTGATAGAGCAGCAATTTTACCCACATTTTCAAAATATATATAAACATTTTGTATTTAAGATAAAAATACTGTCAATCTGCTCTTTCCAGAAATCCTCAAGTGGAAAAATTTTAGTTCCAGCTGGTATAATTTAGTCACAAATCTTTTTTGAGGACCTTTGGCTATCCGATTATTAATGATTAATCCAAAAAATAATCCAAAGATTAATCGATTTACAAAATAATCGTTAGCTGAAGCCGTAATTGAAACATTCGCTAGAAGAATAATCCCCTCTCTCTCTGTATATATATATATATATATATTTAAATATACATAGATAAATGTTTTACAAACATTGGGAACTGACAGAATGGCTGGGATTGTCTCCATGAAAGCTTTAAATAATGACTTTATCCTGTTTTTTAAATGTGATGCTGCAGACAAATGTGAATAAATTACAGAAACATAACATCACAGTTTGCTTCATGCCGTTTTCCAGAGAAGGGATCTGGCTGCAGACCTGGACCTGCTCTGTCAGGACCCAAAGTTTATTCCAGACGTTTTATTCGGAGCCTTCAGGAAAAGCACGTAGCACGTATGAGCTTCCACATTTTACTAGTAGAAGAAGACGAATTTTTTTATGCGAGGTGAGTGCTCGTTTAAGTCTGCCTAGAAAGGCCAATAAATCTGTGTGTTATCGTCGTTTTTGGGTGATTTTCTTTTACTTATTACAACATTATGTCTCTTACTTCGCCAAAAGTTTAACGCTGCACCTTGCTGTAAACTCAGCTTTTTAACAATAAAAAACACTTCCAAGAAAATAAAATAGACATTTGAAAGTTTTGTCTCTACTGTTTTCTGCAGTGTTGTGGGGGAAAAAATAAACAGAAGTTATTATCTATTGTGTTCATGTATCGAGGCATTCAGTGATTCACTGTTGGAAGACTGAGCTTATCCAGTTGAACTGGAAAGAGATTGTATATAAATCATTAAACACATGAATAGACAAACAAACCCAGGAAATAAACAGGAACGTAAAATATTTCTGATATACTAGCTTTTAAATTACTTCGTTTTTACTTTGAAAGGCTTTGGATAAACTTCTGGTCCTGACAGAGCAGGTCTGCAGCTAGACTCTCCAAGCTTTCCAAGACACATAAGATCACTGAAATGAACGGAACTGAGCTATCTCTATAGTTCTGCTGCTATAGGCTTAGACTGCTGGAGGACATAGGGACCCCTTTTTCATCATTNGAAGATATTGGGATATTTTAATGGATCAATATTTTTTCCCTCGTCTTTAGAAGTTTTTAAGTCTGTAAAAAAGACGTTTTTGAGGAAGAAGAAGAAGTAGTATTTTTTTATTTTTTTTTTAGACTTTAGAAACTCAGAAGCTGATCAAATATCGGGTTAAATCGGTGGGGTGGCCGATAATCAGTTTTAAGGCCGATACCGATAGGGGGCCGATTATATCGTGCATCCCTACTAGGGGTGAGTATTGGCATGGGTGTTGCCATACTTGGGTCAGGAAACGATTTTATCACTTTATTGCAATATCACCATATGTTGCAATATTTTTTTCCTGCTATCAGAATTAAATGTATAGATAAAAAATTAACCTCTGGGGCAGAGTGGTTAGGTCTTAGTCCTCAACACGGCCGACCCGGGTTCGAATCCAACCTATGGTGATTTGCTGCATGTCTCTCGCCCTCTCTCATTCCCCCTTTCCTGTCAGCCTACTGTCAGAAAAACGACCCACTAGTGCCATAAAAACTAAAAAAATAAACAAACAAAAAGCAACCTCTGTATATGTCCATCAGAAAATATTGATTATTGGTTCAGTTATTGTGGTATCCACGCTGTTTGGGGTTTGAGTCAGTCCAGGTCTTCCAGAGTAACTGCCTCATCTACATCTGCCAGAGTGGCGGTACAAAGGCTGCCCATTTTCCCTCAGTTTTAGGTACAAATGTTTTGCTTTA